TAAGACATGTTAAGACACATTGTCATACCCTCGATTATCTGGTTAACAGTAAGTTTCGTCCGATCAATCAGAGTGACGTCTTCATTTAGACGACGCCTTGCTATTCCTAGCGCCTATTCTTTAGGTACATTAGTGAAAGGTGATGTGACATCGAAGCTTACCATCAACTCATCTGACTCGATTTTGAGACTTGCCATCTTTTGAGCGAACTCATAAGAGTTTTTCACGAATGTACTCGTCCGCCCTGTAGGAGAATGCAATAGCCTTACCAAATATCTAGCCAGTTCATGGGTCGGGGAGCCTAAACCGTCGACCATGAGCCGTACGGGAACTTCGGGTTTGTGAACTTTTGGCAAGACATAAACCTTCGGAGGTTAAGTCGATTTTGGGTATAGATTGTACCACTTGCCTGCCCCTAAATCGTCCTTCACGGTGCTTAAATAGTTACCAACCTCCGTTTTACTCTTGTTCATTACTGACGCCATGGTCTTATCAACAACTACTCTATATGGACCCGTCTTCGAATGTTGTCCCATTTTTCCAAGTATTCTGATCTATTCATTACAACCAGGGTTTTCCCTTACCAGCCTTTGTAAGTACAATGCTGCGATTTTCCTTCAAGGAACTTAATGCGATACGTTCAGTTTACTGAAGATTTGGCTTAGCCGGTTGCTGAAACTTATCAACACTATGGACTTATCCGTCAATGCCATGACGCACAAAGGAACACATGGAATATTCCCGCTGTGTTTGAACCACCTGAGGTGGTATCACGAACTGTTACTGTAATGACACCTTGGCTCAAGTCTCGGATAACGCGGTTATCGCCCCTGTTCGCTATAAAATCCCACTCCAATTGCACACTGATTCACCTGGTCTGACGAAGCTCTTGTGTCAAGAGCGAAACGTTACCAAACTATACCAACCGGTTGTTTCCAAACCTCTCTGAACTCATAAGTAATATGATGCTAAATATTATATTATGCATTTCGTATGAGATCGGAATTGAAAGTGGGCTCTAAAGGCAGGGGGGCTGAACATGAAAGCTCACAACACGAACGCCATTGGGGTTGACTCTTCGACATATCAGCGAGTGTGTCCGACCAAACGTGTTCATCGTCCTTGGGACCCCAGCCCCGTAGTCGGGATGCACCAACCGACGCCAGCTCATGCTGGAGTCCACGTGATTTGCCTTGTGCTTGACTCGCAGTCGGCCCCAGTGCCCCGTCTGCTGTCTCCTTCCAATCGGAGTAGCCCTTTGTTATGAGTCCGATGCTAAGTTATCTGCGAGGTACTGATTGATCAAGGAAGCTGTCTGTTTAATGCCGCTTTATGTTTGCACGATTGCCAGCTGTTTGCGGCCCTATTTTGTTGGCAAGAGGTATGCACGTTGGCTCTGGAGGTTTATTAAAACATTAAACTTTTACGCTGAGTTCTACTTCTCTTCCTCTTACTGTGCTTCATTCTTTGCTCATTGCAGTTGTACTGTGACGTAGCATCAGTTCTTATGGCCGAACTACTGCTCTTAGTTATGTTGTTGCTTGATTAACCGCACCCCAATGTTGACGTAACATCTACAACTCAAGGTGGATTGGCCTCGTCCCTGGCTTCGAAGTTGGATCCTTATCGATTGACTGGCTTCCTGTAAATAGCAGTCTGTGAGGTCCGTCTGACAATGTCCACCTGGAAAATCCCGGAGAACAGCACTAGACTATTGTTCTCCGTGGTTTTTAACTCACACCCAAACCGATCTCAGTCCTAACGCTCCCATAGGAGCTGTGTGTCACAATCTTCCACGCTACTCTACATACGGCAACCACCTGAGCCATGACTATAATTGGTAGGGCTGCATAGTGCCGTTCGAATCTTTGGTATGGTTAAGTTAGATTTCTGGGCCTGGTTGTCGGCGCCCTTACAATACCGAGCTTTTGTCGCAACGGTGCACTCGCCATCAGTTATTCTCTTCGCTGCTACGGTTGGGTCCACTGAGCATTGAGATCCCACTTGCCGTCCCCCTCCAGCACAGCTGGTCGGTGGTGGGTTCATGGGTTCACTGCATGCTTCATCAATTCTCCTTACTTCGACTTTCACTTCCGCTCAGTTTGAGACGAATTCGTGGGCGCTGTGTATACCTCTCAGACTTCCGCGCGGTTTTTACTAAACGCATCAAACAACCTATTCGACTGGTCACCGAGGTGACTCAGCTCACAGCTATGTAGACTGTTACTCAAATAGCCTTCGAAGTTCACCGATACCTTTTTGCTCTGAGGTAGTCAGATTTGTGCGGCCTATGTTTAACCTCCCAGTATCGGTGTTTGGTCCATGCTTACGACGCTATCGTTCATCACAGCACCGGGCGATTAATAGTAGAAAGTTCGATGCTCTTGCTGAATTCAAGAAGAAGGATTGCTGCCAACACCGCACACATTGCGACTAAATGGATTATCCGGTGCCTCTTAGCAAACAAATAGCCTTATTGGTTCCAGCACCAGCAGTGGACGCTTCTAAGTAGTCAACTCTATTAGTCCCGGTAACGCATCCACCACTGAAGCTACTGGGTACTGGCTCCCGTAGTCACGATAAGAAACGCTATCATTTTCTTCAAGTGAGATACTCTCGAAAAAGCCTGGATGATATGCCTATAAGCCGTTTTATGCACAAGTGATGCAGGCTGATGTGTGATACCATAGCTTATGGGCTCATACATAATTTGGGCCGTTTCCGGACTGTTGGTCCAACTTTTCTCGTGTCTTTGTTATTCTCCTGTCGAAACCATTAAATTGGCAGTCACCATTTTCGCCGAAACATCGTTTTTATGCCCTTTACTGTGGACAAATCAATTTTTAGGAACACTAACAAATTCTTTGACTAAACTGTTTCCAAGGTCATTGTGACCATATTACTCCTGCTATTCTTTGAAAATGTGGCTCGACATACTGTGTGTAATGCGTCAGTGTCGTTGTAGAAAGCTTACAAGTAAGATGTCGAGCGTAGCCTAGAAGAACAGTGTCGTTTCCTCTTCTCTTTGCCTTCCCATTTCGTCTTTCATGTCGTCAGAGCAATCATCTCCCGTACTTGTTTTCGCCATCCATCTATTCACCTCAGACTCGGCCCTCCATCGGCAGCTGTGACAACGCCGTCCAGCTCATCACTAGGTGTAAGTCAGATACACTATCTGTCCAGCTCGAACTCTTATACTAGGTGGTTGTGATGTAGCTGTCCAAGCGCCTAAAAAGTATCTTGCCTTTCAACTCCCTCGATCTAATAAGACTCACGTACGCTCTGGACACGGAAGTTCTCAGGACCCTCAACCGGACGCATACAGCACTGTGCACAATTTACAATTTTTTGCTTTTGACAAAATGAAACCATTTGTCAAGAAACGTTTTAGCAAAGCATTTTTGTTACGTGTCGCGTAACTCGGCTGCTGTGATGTTCGAGCGATTATCCATTGACTTGATATCGCGATTTGTGCCGTTTACCATCATAGTGATGGCTGTTACTCCGTCCTACCTTCCCTACACTTAGGCATAGATCCGGTTCTATGGGACGCTAATACTGCACGCCGTTTTTAGCACACTTCTTCTTTTAATCTTCTTTGACAATGGACCACATCCGCTCAACTTTCCTGTTACTATTGGTTATTGGGTGTTGTAGAGAAGTCAAACGGACACTGCGCACTGTTACATGCTCACCGCGCTTCGGAATTACGATACTCGGCCGATTGATACCAATTCCATACACTAAGGAGACTGACATTCCGCGTTCCCCTGGTTGTCCCGGTCCCTTACCCATCGTTATTTTCGGGACGTATCTCAGTGGCTTATCATCTGATCGAATTTATCAACCTATCTAAGCTGCCTGTACGAATCCGCGGCTACAACTTGGTTTCTTGCTTCAGAAGAGTTTTCATCAGGACGTGGAAAATCGTCGTGTTCGCACTAAAGTAGTTGTAGTCCTCATCTGACCTGGCGGCCTCTAGTCTCATCAGCGCTGACCCCACATACACTTTGCTCACATCTCACTACCCTTATGGTTGCTAAGTATTTTCCTTCTCAGAAACTGCATAGATATTTCGTCTGTTCCCATCATATTAGTATATTTTTTGTTCGCGCGGCCTCCTATCGTTCTCATTTTGACGCCAGTCGTCCGGCCACCGATGGGATTAGTCATTCATTCATTATACGCGTTAGCCGTAGGTGGAGAACACTTCTGCTTTTGTACCGCAATACATAAGAAAATAAAAATACATGAAACAGTGACACGCCAGCAGAGTCTCCAGTAACGGATGAACATCGTTCCGGAGAGCTAACAGCCGGCTGTTGTGCAACGAAAAATTAGTTAAATTATAGCTAGTATATGAGGTCTTGGTTGGAGAGCGAGACTAAGCAGGATGGGGAGGGACAAAGAAACTCACAACACAAACGCCACTGAGGTCGGCTCCTAGCCATATCGACTAGTGTATCCAGTCAAACGTGTTCATCGTCCTTCGGTCCGCAACCAGGGAGTCTAGAGGCTCCAACGGAGGTCAACTTCGAAGTGAGGGATTTCATCCCTATTGCCCAAGTCATCGCTTGTTCACCCCTCCTCTTCTTCCATCCTCACCCCCTGTGCGCAAACAATGCACTCCGCGGGAGTCGGCGCAACACATGGCCCAGCACTCGGAGCCTGGTGCGTGACAACATAAGGTGTCTGTCTTGTAATCCACAGAAGTCTCCCGTTCAAATCTGCGTAGGGGCACGGACGACCTCACCGTATCTCCAGCCCACACACACGACTGATGTTGACCCTGCACATCGCCTGACCCCTTTAGCTGCCTCCTTCGTATCTCATGCTCACCGTTGGTTGAATACGCGGTTAGAATCAGTGTAGGGGAAAAGAGGGCGCACTGCTACTATCCGCTCCAAACAAATTGTAATTTGCATCATCTCTCAACGACACTACCTTCTTCTTCTTGGTTCATCGCTAATTCTCTATCTTGTTTTATCCTCTCTGACAAGGCCTCTAGTGAAACGTGTCGTTTGGCCCGAATCAAACCCTGTGCTTCCGGATCAAGTAAAACAACGCGTCCGGCTCCTAATGGACTCTTACATTCCTTTGCCTCTACCGCCTTCTTCGTGCCATTCGATCTTGTTGTTGGTACCCTCGACCATGTGTTCAACTAATCAGCATGCTTCATCCACCCGGAATTATGACGCTTTGACGCACCAAGCACGGCCTGACTCGCAGTGTCTATGCCCTGATCGGTAAGGTTAAATTTCACTTAAGCGCTATGGTTATAAGTATCGTAGAGGTCATACTTGCTTGACAGCTAAGTCTTCTTGGCTTACGCACTGCAAACGACACGGTTTATTCATGAGTTACTTCGGCATCTTCGCTCTCATTAAACGAATATCGGGTCTGGACGGAACCGTATCCTGTCGAAAGTCTACCAGTTTATTTGCTCATGGAGCCTCACTACCAAATGGGAAACCAGTCTTTTTTCTTCTCTATCCGGTCTTTCCAACTGCTGCTTGCACCAATTACGGGAACAACTTATCTTATGTTTAACGGGTACATCTATTGGTAGTAGCAGTAGTAGTAGCCATTGTTGTTGTTGTATTATCGGTCGTAGTGTTAGTATTACTATTCCTTCTTCTTCCAACCTAGATTGCTACACCACCTTTCCCATCTGTTCCATCTACACGTTTATCGGACGGAAAGCGCATCGTCGGTGAGTTACTGCTTTACACCAATGGATGTGTGCGTACCCATCTTTTCTGTTCAAGTTCTCAGGCTTCGTTTACATCACTACTCTCTCTCTCTCTGGTCATTCGTTTTTATTTCAGACACACTCGATGAAACGAGGAGGATCACCCGCTTCGTCGCACTGCCTTCCAAGCAAGCGAACTTGTCGAGAAAAGCATGACGCCCCGATGAATGAACACAAGACACCGGATTCTCGTTGCTCACATGCACTATCTTTTCGGCAAGTATTTGCATCTTCCACCGAATCACAGTGGCGAAAGTGTGGTTGCTCGTTTGCGACCATCGGAAGCCCATACTCGAAGAAGATGGTCGCAGGTGCACCTGATATGAAGGCTGCTCTACGCATTGCCCTGAATGAGTTACTTTTGCGTAGGGTATGGCTGCACCTGTCGGTATTTTCATTAACCTGTTCGTGTTCCTTGATGCCAATCACTTGAGAACGGTATTTGCACTTTCCTTCCTGAGATGACTCGTAAGCCTATCCGCTTACTTCGATGTGTTTTGATCATGCTGTCGGTGAAGTCTCCCATGGTCATCAACGTGAGCTAAGTGCTCACTACGTTTGCAGCTAAATCCCGTTGGGATAGATTGCGTTCACCTTGGCAATAAAAAGATGAAGGCATCCGATATTTAGCGTTAGCTCTTGCTTACTGTCACTTTTTAGAAGCTGATCCTCACAGCAGAGACTCGTCATTAATCGTCATTTTAAGTAGTAACTTAAAGTTTGTTTTGATCATACTAACCGCCTAGTCCCGCTTACTTTAGCAACTAATATTTTGAGAGATACCAATTGCTGGGAACGACTTTTAATCCTTGATTGCACAACGCCTTTGGACACACACGACAGTACTCTGCAACTCTAGTGGGCATGTGTACCGGTTCTTTCTTGACTACATCTTACTTGATTGTTCATTCCCTATGACCATCCTCATTGCCGACTATCACCACTCGGAAGATTTGAGCGGAACTCGTTCGTGTTTTCCTTTAGGAATACTGTTCTCACCATTCATGCCATTTGTACCTTTTGTAATAAAATGACACATAATGACCATCTGCTTCTATGTAACTCCGCAGTTTAGCCGCCTGCTTCTTCTGACGGATTTACTTGACTTGACAGAATTGCTTTCCGCCATCTCTGAGATCCATACTACTGCGTTCAGCTCGTATCAGGAGCGTATCTTCCGCACCCGAATTCAAATTACGAATGCCCACACTCGCGACAGTCTATCCCATGATGAACAACCAGAAATGAAATCGTTATCAGAATTGACAGACGGCCTTTTTTATTTACGAACTGCAGTAAAGTCCTCAGGCCTGTCAATATTCGACCGGACACGGGTGGGTACATATAAAATTGTCTGATCTGTCTTCATCATTCTCTCTTCATGCCTCTAAGATTTCGATACCTTTGTACTGTAGAAACGTGCGCGTGAACGGTGCACGCGGAAGTCGACGGCCGCCGCACAACCTGGCACCACTTCCAACTCCAATGTGTGCCGGCTGTTCGTGGTTGACTTGTTCGGAACTGAAGAACCGTTTTCCATCTCCGATAATCTGTGTGATACATCCGCACACGACTGTGTTCAGTGCGAGTAAGCGAGATTAACGACGCTGCTTATTCCTCTCTGTTTCAATCCATCTGTCATACACCAACATGGTTGTCTGCAACCTCGACCTGATCAATTTTTTCCGTGCGAGCGATCAGTCCACACGTTCGTCTGTGCCTCTCCATTCATATGTTCTCCTCAAATTTCAGCGAAACTCATTGCTAGCCAATTATATCGGTCGCACATCGGAAGCGGTAAAGGACAATCTTATTTTTGTCACATCAGGTGTCCTTTCTCGAAAACGTTTGGACTATCGTTTACTCATCATGTCTTGCCAGCTGCAATCTTCATTATAATTGCTGACAATGTTACTCCGAGTGGCCAGGTGTTCGTTCGTTTTCTCATGTTTCTACCGTTAATCTTTCCATCGCGAATTTTTCCTCACTGATGAGGTGAAATACGTCCACCTTCACAATGTGTGGGCCCGTTATTGGAGACCATTTCATCCGCAATTAATGTTTGGTAGCATTAAGACGTCGTTCAAACGTACTCGTCTCAAATCACTTTCTTTCGATCGCTTTTAGGTTTATGAATATAATACAGTTTCCCTCTCGAGCCTGTTATGTTACTAACCTTTGCGCATTTCTTGGATCCCAGTCTTTGTGGTAGGTTGATTTATGTTTTGTAGTCTGCTTTTGTGTTCCGTTTACAGTGGGTGTTACGCGGAGGAACTGGCCAAACACCCGAAAAGACTTCGCGTTACAGCGCTGCGCCGTTTGCTCCAACGACCGGAACAACGAATTCGTTTCGCACACTGGTTGCGTTTACCAGTAGTAGATTCTGTCGACCTGCTAGATAGGAATGCTACAAAAAGCGAAGCAGCTGGGTACCAAGCCATTGGAGCCAACTTACTGGCACTGATCTTGCATCTTCTTCTTCCTCTAGCCTACGAGTTCGGGCCCGATCTGATTTACATTCGGTTGGGTGACTTCTGTACAGGCTGTTACAATGTGAGTTTTCAAAATCATTGCTTAGTTGTATCAACACGCAGGCTATCTGAACTCATTCCTATAATGATATACAGTAGTTGTCATCTTTACTTTATACTTGGCAGTGTCCCCGCCTAAATTACTAGTTGCACCTTACCAACTGGCTTTCTACGGCGTCCCCACTATAGTTGGGTGCCATGAGTTAAATCTCCTTTCATTACAATCTTAGCACATTGAGTCGTAGTACTCGTGCTGCTACCTTACGTTTCTCAATCCACGTAGCGTACCACATCCACTTGTTTGATGTTTTTAATGGTGCTTCGTTTCGTCCCTACTTTAGCGTAAATCCAGTGCGTTTTCGGCCTTCGACTCGCTCGACTCTTATTAATCGACACTAGGTGACGGTTGTTTACTTCTAAGTAGTTCGTTTGATTTCACAAAAACCTGTCTATTACGGTTGACCTCATCATATACCACATTTGCTTTCTGCTTTCGAATCGCGCCACACGCCGGCAAAATCTCCCTTCTTCATCTTTTTACTCTGCGCTCCACCATATTACTTCCTCTGGCTAGCCGCAGACCATCCAAAGCCGTCATCCAATTTTTGTAACACTTCATTAAGGTGAAGAATCATAACTCCGGTATTCTGTCGAAAGGTTCGTGGGTCCTCTAAGTCAGACGTCAATCAAAAAAGCACTTGGTCAGATATCAGCGTCTACTTTGGAAACAGTTGGCGCTGCTCACCATATATGCTTTATCTCGACGCACCAGCAAGCATCGTTATTACTCAAACCGTAATTTAATTAGCTCGCGCGTACTCTAACAAGTGTTTAACCTTTTTGTTATATTACAGAAAGGCCATGCAACACATCGAAATGCCAAATTCACCGATTCACTTAGGCAAATGTTTGCCTCATTTTTTGAGTTTGCTGGAACTCCAAAGTTGCTTTTCTTTCACTGACCACCAAGAAAGAAGTTGCCTTTTCGATTGCATTGTTTTGTCTTTATGCGAAATATCTAGTTCCTCACACCTTTCTTGTCTCCCTTGGCCCCGGCCAGCCCAGAAAGGATCCCGTATCCTTTTCGCAAAATTACACCGCCACACTGCATTCTAGCGTGCCGTTATCATCGAACCAAGATTCCAGCCCACAATCCACTTGCCGCCTTTTTGAGTGCTGGAGTTGAATATATTCATCGGTCTGCCCAGCCACACAAAGCTATCCACGTGTTCTAGCTGTGTACCCTGAAGAGTGAGCACGAGAGCGAGGGAGTGCCAACCCTGGAGCAGCACTTCACACTTCGACGGCGCGAAGCACATTCCGTGCCTTGACGCCTCCATCGCCAAACAATTTAGAATGATTTGCATACTCTGCATGTCATTCCCAAGTAGGGCGATGTCATCGGCACCATCTAAGTCGGTCCCTCTTTTGCCCGGTAGTAGCTTCAGACCACAATGTTGGTAATCTTCCAGTGCTCTAAACATGACACCCTACACTCGAGGAATGAGAACATATGGCAGCCCTGTCGCACACTGTTATTGACAGCAAAGGACGAAGAAAGCTTGCCATGGACCCTGGCTCTGCCGGAGACGAGGAGGTAGAGTACGCGTATGATGGTAGTGTACTTAACCGAGACCCCGTTTCTTAACAAGCAACGCCATAGTGCAGGTCGACCAGCAAGGTCGAATGCAACACGGATGATGATAGGTCTCTGGCGGAAGTGGCGGTGTTCGATGATTTGGCGAAGCGTGAAGATTTGATATACACACCCGCGGTCAGGATAGGGGCCAGCTTGTTCTTCCCGGTACTGCGATTTTGGAATCGGGGATAGCCTACGAAGTAAAATGGATACCAATAGCTTGGAGATAATGGAAATTAGACTAGTCCCCTGGTGATTTGTGCACGAATTGCGAACACCCTCCTTAAAAATCGGGACAACAATTGATTCGTCCCAGGAGCAAGGCACCTCTTCATGACAGATTTCGCCGAATACTATGGTTAGCTGGCTGATGATAACTGCGCTGCTATATTCGAACAACTTTGGAGGAAGTCTGTCAGAGCCGGCAGTTTTGAATCGTTTCAAATGTGGGATCGCAAGATAAATGTCCGCTTTGCTGGGCGAATCAAGTGTGACGACCCAAGGCGGACAGCAGGGTTCGCAGGGCATACAAGTGGTTAGTGAGAGCCAATTGAACTAGGAATGTGTATGTTTGATCTATCGATCCAAGCGTCTCCGCAGGTTAGCGATCGGCCAAACCATCCTCTTCACAAATAGTCTCACTGACACCAGGCTTCTTGGGAGTATTGCCAGAGAGCTCAGCGGCCTCCATTTCCGAGTTTTCCCTACTCTACGCTGGTACAGGCTACTCGACAGCACGCTGACGATATCGCATCGATTGTTGATGAAACGTCTGCAACAAAATTGTCAAGCTAAACGATCAGTTCGACGGACATCTGAGCTACCAGTTTTCTTTTCTATTTGTTGCTTTTATAAGCAGAACGCTTGCCGGGCGAAAACCCACCACGTCTTGTAACCCTGTTGCCGAAGATTTCGCTGGAACGGGGTAAACTCGAACCACTCAGCTGGCACAGTGTGGAGGTGGCTTAGCATGCCGGCTCTCTTGATTCCCTTGAAGCATTTCTTCTAGAGCGCTGAGAATAGCTATGTTGGATGCATGTTTTCGGTTCATGGCACTCACAGTTTCTTTTGAATTGTATAGGGCTCTTGTCAGGTTTGGTTTGTGGCAAAGATTGGTGCTCCAGTATTCTGAACATATCCTTGGTTATGTCACGACTGATAAAAGCAGAAGTGTATGTTATAGTGCACGTCCAGTTGGCATGTCCTGCTTCCATGGGTTCTGGAAAGAACAGCCTATGGAAGTCCAATGCGCTGGGGTGAATATTATGGCGACCTTCTACATCCTTGTGGTTCGCGTCTGACAAAACGGTACACCCAACATATCTCACTTTGACATTTGACAGTTCTGGTGTATCAGTTTTCCGGTGTTGTCGCATGTACGCGGTCAGCTTGCCTTGACTTTTGTCGCCCCTGTGATACCCATCTGCACTGGCTTCGATGTTCTTTCCAATTGCTAAGAGTTCGAAATTTCCGCTTTCTAGACCGAACTGCTGTTTCGTATGGGTATGTTTCCGCTTTTTTTCAGCCACTTTGCACACCACGTCGATTCTATCTCCGAACCAGTTTGTACTGGGGTGATTCGTCCTTTTACTTCTTCGCATATGCTCTATCTCTTAAGGTCTAGCGTTGGATCTCACAGCTAAGACTTCGTGTGACAAATATCTGTCTGCGGTGTTGGTGTCTTTTAAGTATATGCGTTGCTTTTGGTGTTTGGGACTCATCACATTAATCACTTTATTCGCCATCGTCATCAATCCACCACAACCAATCAGCAGGCTCTGTCACCTCGGTCGCTGCCATAATTTCACTCTCATTTTCGTTAACTGCACCTGTGGTTTATCTGTTCACCTGTTTTACTTCTAATTATACACATTTCATGCAATCACTCGGTTGGTTTTTCTAAGTAGGGTTTGATAAATTACTGACAAATTACCGAACAGGCATATGAACTTGGTCAACAGGGTTCTTAAAATGTGCACACTGATGTCCTCCGACTTGTTCCATTAATCTAAAGACCTATGGTTGTGCCACGCCCTCTTCTTTTTCTCGAGAACTGTTCTGTCTACTTCTAAGTGATGTCACTTTTATAGAACGAGTGCCTTGCTACTATGGTGCTGAATCTACATGCTAACAAACCCCTTGATTGCGATAGGTCATGAAACCATCTTTTCAACTTACGATCACAGGCTACTGTTTCCAACTGATTACACGCAATCCGAAAAATTGTGTGTGTGTGTGTGTGTGTGTGTGTGTGTGTGTGTGTGTGCCAATTTTGCGCACCAGACAATTTCGCCCCTCCTTAGCAGCTTCGTGCGGTCCGGATGCCGGATCGGTCACCGACACGCTCTCGGGTCTCGATGATGTTTGCATAGGTTAGGGTGTGATTCAACGTCTGTAAAAGGCTCATTGGCAAGGATTGACTCGCGCCTTTCTGAGTACCATCATTTGTTCCATCAGAGTCCGTTTCAGGAGTACTGAAGCAATGCGAGTCCTTTGGACTTGTTCGTTCGAAATTTCTACGCGTTGACCCAGTACTTCATTGTGCTGTATTCAGTAGTATTAAACGTTCGTATTGAGAAACTAGCGAGAAAAGTTTGGATTTATGCCATTTTTGAGTAGTCTTTACGAAACTTGCTTTCAAAAGAGTAGCGCTAGTGTGCAGTCTAAGCTGTTCAACTTTTTGGCCATGGGCTGTTTTTCCTTCTCATTTCATTTGTCAAAAGTATACTGTTGCAGTCTGATCAAATTGGTGTGTGCGCATCACACCATTCCGGAGGGCCGAATAACTACCGATTGTACGTTTGTGTACCTCTCGCTTCTCTTTTGACACTTCGGGCAAGTGCATCTGTTTTGCTGCGTTTGTCCGCTTTTTCCACAGTCTAGAATGACAAACTACGTGTGAATTTACTTTGTAAAATCAATGAGTGCGTTTGTCTAAAGTTTATGCCGCCTACTCAGCTATGGGGAACTCGCAAAGCAACTCAGTGCAAGTTTCGGTTGGAACGTTTCCGAATTGTCAAAGACAGTGTAGTCATCGACCAACTTTCAACCCCTTAAAGTGTTTCACAAGTTATTCTGAACTCATTTGGCTCTGGGACCAATCCAGTTTTCCCAGCTAACGACATGCTGACCACTATCTTTTTCACTTTCTCCTGTCTCGTTTGTCAGTATCACATTTGTAAAATGTCAAATACTTTCCCATTTCCGTTACATATATCTACGAAATTTGCGTCTATCTTTGAGTAGTGCGCTAAACCGACTATCACCATCAGTCTCTCTTTTTTGTTTTACCACAGGTGCAAATGGACATCTCAACGGGAATCCTAATCCACTTGTTCAGCGGGCTTGGTATCCCAGTGTTGATCAGCCTTTGCTCGTTTGAAGCTTTGTCGGCTAGTTTGATTAATGCTTTATTGGGGCGTCCACTCCCAATGAATCCTAACCCCAGGGACTCGATGGTTCCGACACCTGCGTGAGTGATAGCCCATCCGATTTTCTACAGCTTTTTGTTCCGGAAGATCTGTATCACCATCTTTCCTGTATCTACCGTATTCCGTTTTCAGCGTCATCTGCCAACGAATTTCTGGACGGCCACATCTGATGGTTCATTGCACAGTGCCTGAGTTTGGCTGCATTGGATGCTTTTTAAAGCCTCATTCGTCACTTATGTTGTGTTTGCTAGATCTATTCGGCATGGCTAATTTCTTCTCTGATATCACTCTATACGCATCTTCCCTTCTCCATCTGAATATCAACTAAATCGCAAAATACAAACCGTCAGTTTTCTTCGCCAATTTGAAGATCACAGTGAGAAGACGAAGTTCGGTGGATGCATGCATTTCGTATCGTGTCTTCAATGCCGAAAACGATAACAGTGAAATACAACTGTCAAGTGATGCAGATTTACAAACAAACGAAAAGGAAAAAAACGAAAATCATGCCCCTCTGTCCAAGACAACATGCGGCTGACCGCTAGTTGCTTTTAAACACAACGGTCTGGTTTGATCCGGCTTATTACAAAAGCCTAGGCGAAACGAAGGAGACGGGAATTGGTATGTCACGGCAGCCGATCAAAGGCCTGTGTGAACACGTAGCCTAAGTTGGGTATGCTTGTTGAGCCGTCTCGTATTGGATCCACTCTGCAACCTGCTCCTTCATCCGCAACCACAAAATCCTATCGGTTCTGCCTATGCGACTAGCTCCGCAGTTGCATACGAATCAACCAACAACAGCACTCCATCCGCCATTTGAACTGATGCTTCGCTGCCATACAACCGTGATGGCCTATGGAATGAAGAATAATAAGGGGGAGAGAAAGGGGACTTACCTGGAAACCTTAATGCCCTACGCAAATATTCAGGGTCAAGGTGCCTACACCTTGTTAGCAACCTACCATTACAAACGGCTGGTTATCGTGCAGAGAGAAGGCGACACCGGCAAAACAGCTTCCTTGCGGCTTTCACTGCCCCGCGTCATAATCAGCCATTACCCCGCAGATAACAGCACTAAACACACTTTAAACACGTAATCAGACTAGGAGACAACAGCAGACACGCCACTAGTGTGGACTGCGAGTCATGTCCTGTAACGTCTCGAACCAAACACATGGCGAGTCACGTAGACTCCAGGTTGAAAGGCGAGACGGACCGGCGGTATCGAGTTTGGTCGTCAGTGACTTCATTCCACGCTGTCAAGTCAACTTCTGTCCATCTAGAGCCTTGCGCCACCCTACACCTGGCAGACTAAACAAGGCCCTCTTAGGTAAGCTGTGACCAGGTATACGTAGCACGTGCCCGAGCCAACGCAACTTATTCAGTGCTATCTGTTGTTCTAGGAAGCTAGCGTGATTATCGCTACCTAGTACTTGCCTACGCACATCATCGTTACGGGTTTGTTCGCGCCATCTGACACCAGCAGTGCTTTGTAGACAGCGATGTTCAAAGACTTGAAGGCGCCTTAAATCACCCGACTGAAGGGGCCATGTCTCACTCCCATAGTGCAGAACGGCCCTCACTGTGGCCTTATAATCACGGACTTTCAGGCGAAGTGAAACTCCCTTCTGTTGCCAAAGATGTCACGCGTTCATGAAGGTAGTTCTGGCTTTTGCAATGCTCAATTGACTTCGGTTTCTATACGCCCGTCGTTGGTGATGCAGCTGCCAAGGTAAGTGAATCGATCAACCACCTCGTGTTCCTAAGTTATCAAGGACCAAAGGGTCATAAAGTGGCTGGTACTTTTGCAGCAACACTTTGAACTATTAGGGTGCGATGCGCATGCCAAATAATGGAATCACTCTAGAGAGGCTCTTCAGTGTTGATTGTGCCACCGCAACATCCTTACAACAAGACGGTATCGTCCGCATAATCATGATCAACTAATCTTTCACCAGGCAGCACCTAAACGCATGCATCTTGAGACTCCGCAAGGGAGAACTCGATGATGGATCCCAGGACGAAGTTGAACAAAATGGGGAAATTGGGCCACCCTGACTAACGCCACTTGTTGTCGTAAATCAATCCGACAGGTCACCGTAGACCCTGACGCGGCCTGCAGTGTTCGAGTATAGAGCACGTAGGATGTTCACATATTTCGTGGGAACACCTTTCTGTGCAATTATTTCGAACTGAATGCATCGATCGACTGAGTCCAACGCACTCTTGAAATCGAGGAACACAGCTATTGTCGGCCTGCGGTACGCGTGGCGCTGCTCTAACACCTGCCGCAGATTGAATATGTGGTCTATACATCCCCTTCCTGAACGGAAGCCTGCCTGCTCTTCCCTAGTCCGAGATTTCCGTTCCACAGTGAATCCACGAACGAGAATCGAGGGCAGTAATTTTTTACAACTGTCGTTAGGCTAATATCCCTGTGATTAGAACAGTCTGTGCGACTGCCGTTCTTGTATATTGCCACTATAATCGGTCCACTCCAGTTAGCCGAGACACTTCCTTCCAGATATGTTCGAATAAGGAGGTCACTGCCTTGCAGTGGACTCCACCTCCGGGCCAGCTGCAGGAAAACGATTGAGAGCTGTGATCGCGTTTCGGACCTCAGCCTTCGATGGAGCCTCTAAACCAACCGTCCATGACTCGTCCTGCATCACCTGAGTAGGAATAGGTCCGGGAGCAGGGGGCCAACTGAACTGATCTTGAAATTCTTCCGCCCAACGAACCATACGACGATCCTTGTTGTGTATCTGTGCAAATGCGCTGTCTCTGATTGTCTCATTGGTGCCTGGTTTCTTTGAGCCGGGGGTGCGTATCAGCTGGAAGCGCTTGCGCTAATTGCCTTCTACTCCTGCCTCCTCTATTTCTTGAGCCCGATTAGTCCACCAAACTTCCTTGTCAGCACGCAGCCTTCGTTTTAGTTCGCGCCTAATAGTCCGTCTAGGTACATTGTGCTCAGAGCCAGCCGAGAGGTTTCTTCTTGATTCCAACAGGTTTATCGACATCTCGGATATTCAGTGACTGGAGTGGTGACGATTGATAATGCCACGAGCAAATGCTCCTGCGTCATGCATAGCGGCCGAGATCCTATTTCACTGATGCTCAGTGTCATTAGAACAAGATAGCGAAAGTTCGGTACGCAGTTCATCCTAGTAGGCTTGCCTGACTGAGGGCTGGGATAATTTCTCAGTTGCCAATCGAGGAAGTCGCTTAGTGCGCCTCCCGGTGAAGTTCATGAAGAAACGGCAGTGTACTAAGGCACGATCAGAGTCGACGCAAGTATTCCAGAACGAGCAGCAACCCAGGATGGAACCATGCCACTTGTAACTTATGGCAATGTGATTAATTTGGGTCCATCCCTGTCCATCTACTGGAGGATCCAAATGACACTTCAGCGCCCACCGTGTTTTAAAACGGTGCTACTGAAGATCAACTGGTGCTCCGCACGAAGTTTCAACAGACTCTCGCAGTTGTCTGACCGTTCGGAGTTAAGCCCATAAGTACCACCCAGCGAAGCTTCTGAAGAGCTCAGACGCCTTACTTGTGCGTTCATATCCCCTGCAAATACTGTGATATCTGAACTAGTAGCACTGCGTAGTAGCGCGTTCAGTTCGTGATAGAATGTGTCATTGGCAGCATCAGAACTGCAGTCGGTGGAAGCATTAGCGGAAATAACAAACAAGCAGCATTTTGTACTGCTTCGTGAATCAACCTTAGTTGATGTCGTCAACTGGGCTGCACATAAACGGCTGTTCACGGGAATCCAATCAACCAACAATGGCTCAGTCTTGAAACTGTGATTGCTACCTACCCCTGTTTGACCCGTGAGTGCTGCATCGGCGTCTCCGGATGTGTGCAACCAATAACCAGAGGACAAGCCGGGCGTAGTTAATTCAACAACCCCATGAGAGTCATTGATCCTAGTTTCGGACATACAACTCACGTCAATGCCCAGTATGCCCAACGTGCGTTCGACTTCAGCATGTTGACATATTTGTCTTAGAGTGCGAACGTTGAATGTTGCCATGTAAACGGGATAGCGTGGCCTTATCAAGGACTGTAGCCAATAGTCGTCCGGTGGGTGTTGCGGGAAGGTGGCTGCAGATGCTGTGACTCCAGTGGCACTTCGTTTGCTATCAATTATACTGGGAATTATGGAAGGAAGGTTAGTAATGGGGGTCGGGCTGGAAGTAAGAGAAACAGGTGGAAAAGAAAGAAGGGAGGCGTTAGCAGTAGCATATATTTGCTTATCCGCCCTGCTGTATGCAGCAGATTGGGTGACCCTTGATAATCTGCGCGATGGCCTATGCAGGATCTAATTGGAGTTTGGGGAAATTATCATGGTTGTATGTGGGCTGGAATGCTACCAGGGTGCCCATACCTAGACAGGAGGAAGTTTAAGGTACTCAACCTAAAGCCTTTGGCTCAAAAGCCTATCCGCAAGGCAGCGGGGAGGTGGCAGTGATTTAGTTTTTACAGAAATGGATGCCATCCCATTTCAAACCCATAACCTGGAGGACCAGTAGAGTGAGTTTTGGTTTGACCTTTGACCAACCTGGTAGGAGTAGCTCTCAAGGGGCCCGGAGGCACTACCCAGTATACCTCAATGGGTTAAGGAGATACGTAAACCGTCGCATCACGTTAAGGTCCAGTCTCCTCGCGACAAATTGGTGTGCACAATTGCAGTTGCCTCCGATAGGCCAAGTTTCTTTCAATGGATGCAGCGGCAGCTTGTGGTTTCGGTCGATAATGTTGACTCTGGCAGCACATAAGGTGCTCTGCATAGCAACAATTAATCGTTTGGTAGTCCTCCGTGTGGCAATGTCATCCTTAAAGCGGAGCTCCAAGATTATGTTATTTTTAAACATGGTTTGCAAAGAATCTCTCATTGGTTGATTTGTCTATAACAAGTAGTAATGTATCAGCTTTACGCTGTACCGGCACTTCGCTGCCTTGCGACCACCACTAGTCGCATGCGGGCTGAGTATACCTCGAGGGCACCAACCCTTACGCGGATTCGAACCCG